GTATTCACATTTTAATACTGGGAAGGCAATAAGCCTATGGAGGTGGCTCAGAAATCCAGGTTGCCTGAAAGAATAAATTCCTTACTTTGAGGACATGAATGAATTCTCAGGGATTACTTAGATATTCTTCATCGCAGGGTTCTCTTCCACCCTTTCCAGCTTTAGCTTTCTGTTATCTTTCTCATTGGCTGAATCGCAGAACCCCAAAATTGGAAAGACCACAAAGACTATCTACTCCAATTCCCAGCAAAGGAGTACTCTAACCACTCCCTGAATACACCTCCAAGGGCAATCGCTGCCCTCAACACGATGATCCCACACGGCACAGCTCGCTGTTAGCTGGGGCCATGTTCTCTCATTGAGGAAATTTGCTACAACCACATTATCTGCAGAGGAAAATAGAGCAAATACAGTACTGTCCTTACTTTTCCCTCACAGAAAAGAAATTTTAATATGCCACAATAAATTGCTTGTCCAACATATTCAAGATATATCAATGCCTAACTATGGTAGAAAATGTCGCCAATACTCTGTCAAGAAGCATCTTGGAGCAGGCCGAGCTGCCTCTGACTATGGCCTTCTTCCTCAGTCTGCTCCTGCATCAGTCTTCCACATCTCCGCAAACAGCACTTGCATCCCTTGCATTGCTCAAGCCAAAAACTTAGGAGTTATTCTTGATGCCTCCTCTGTCTCACCCCCACAGCCAATCTGTCACCAAATCCTGTTGATTATATCTCCAAAATAGATCTCAATTTCATCTACTTTTCTATTGCCACTATTCATGTCTAAACAGTTATCATTTCCCATCTGGATCCCTGATCTCCCCCATTCTCACAATACTCCCCCCACAACATGCGCACGCGTGCACACACACACACACACACACACACACACACATCCCACAATCCATTAACCATCCAATACTCAAAGCGATCTGTTAGAAAAATATGCTAGATCATGTCACTTTTCTGCTTAAAACCCATAAATGGCTTTCCATTGTTCTCAAATATCATGAAAAACCCTCCCTGACCCTTCCAAGGCCCCCGTGATCTGGCCTCAGTCCACATCTTGGCTTCATCACATGCCATTGTCCACAGCATTTATCATATTTCAGTCTCAACAGACAGCTTTCATTTCCTGTCTGCCTTGGGGCTCCCATCACTTACCATCCTGGGATACTCTCCCTGTGCTGCCCATTCCCTTCCCTGATCTCGGTTTGGCCAGTTCCCACTCATTCTTCAAGAGTCAGCTTATATGCCACTTCTTCAGGGAGGTCGTCCATGATTTCTCAATTTATATTAGCTCCCTATGGAAGCCAGGGCTCTTTTCATGCAAATAACAAAAACCCAGTTCTGACTGATTTAGTCAAATAAACAATTTTTCTTAAGTAAATAAGCAAAAAGGAATTTATTGACCTGTGGAACTGTAAGGTCTAGATTTGATCTTACTTCAGGCACAAGAGATCCAGCACTTGAACAGTATCATCAGAACTGGGTGAAACTCCATCTCTTTATTTAAGCTTATATTTGACAAATGTTTATTGAATATTGATTAGGTACTAGGCACTGTTCTAAGTGCTGGGATGTATCAGTTAAGAAAAAAAGAAAAAAGATTAAAATCCTTGCCTTCATGGAGCTCCCATGGAGCAAAGGAAGATACACAAAGAACAGTAAAGATAGTAAATATGTATACCATATGTTAGAGAAATGTAGCTAATATGAAAAATGCAGAACAATATGATGCAGATTATAGAAGAAGGAAATAGAGTTTGCAATTTTAAATAGGGTAGCCATGGTAGACCTCATGAGAAGGTGAACTTCCAGCAAAAATTTGAAAAAGATGAGGGAATAAGCCATGGGACTAGAGAATGGCCAGTAAAAAAGCCCCACACAAGACTATGTCTGGAATCTTGAGGACCATTAAGGGAGCAAGTGTGGCTAGAATGAGCAAAGGTGAAGGGGAGGAAGTCCCAGGTAGCAGGAGTCCCATCCTGGAGAGCATCCACAAGCCATTGGAGGGTTCTGAGTAGAAGAGTTAAAAATCTGTCATGTAAAAGAATTGTTCTGTGCTGAGTGAAGATTTTGGAGGAGGGCAAGAGAAGAAGCAGGGAAACCAGATAGGCAGCTACTACAGTCATCCAAAGGAAAGTGATGGTGGCTTGGACCATAGTGAAAGCAGTGAAACAATGAGAAGGGGATAGATTCTGGACATATTTGATAAATTTGACATGGGGTGTGACAGATGCCCAGGATAAATACTTCATTTCCCAGCCTCCCCTGAAGGTAGGGGGAGTCACCTAATTCTAAATATTGGCTCATAAACAGAGGGAAGTAAGCAAGTTCTCAGAGGAAAGGGGCATGCCCTCCACTTAACCTCTACCTCTGCCTTGCTGGCTGACATTCAGCTGCAACGCTGGCAGCCACCTTGATCATCCCAAGGAGGGCAACACTTTAGAGACCTACAACCTAGAGGGTAGCTGTCACACCAGCCCTGGTCTGCCAATGCATGGCTCCTTACATGAGAAAGAGAGACACTTCTGCCATGTTTAAGTTCTCTGCAGAAGTCAAATGTCTGTTATACTTAAGATAATGGCCATGTGGTGCTCCTCATCTCAGGAGTTCCCATAGGATTTCATCTTACAATCTGAAAGTCTAGGTCAGCCCAAGAGAGCTATTTCAATGGTATCAATTAAGCCTTTTAGAAGATACTAACAGAAAAACAGAAATATTAATACCTTACTTTCCATAATGAATTATTTAACTCACAAACTACTTTAACTCATTATTTTAAATAAATAATTCTTGAAACAATTAAATAATTCTTGAAACAACACTATGAGATGAGTATTATTCTCTGCTCCACTGTGATTACTCAGCAGGTAGGGACCGCACATTTTAATCACCCCTGTATCCACATCTCCTGAATCTTCAGTCCAGGGCCTAGCAGGCAAAGGTGTTTACTAGATATCTAATTAATAAATAAATTTACAAATCCTTTGATAAGTGAAAACTGTTTCCCCCATTTTCTAGATATATAAAACAAAAGATTCAAAGTTAAGTGACTTGCTCCAGGTCACACAGCTCACAAGAGATGAAGACAGAAAGCTATGCCAAGTTGACACTGCTTCAGATTTTACCCAAAGAGTGAGGGTGGGGAAAAGATGGAGAAAGGGTCAGAGAAAAAGCTGAGGGAAAATTTAAAGAGACAGAAGACAAGGGGTAATAAGCAGAGATCTTACTTTTTCTCTGGGATATATGGTCTAAAGGGAATGGAAAAAATACATGAAACTGATTTCCATGTTTCCAAGTCCTCAGGTGGAGCATGGCCCATATAGCAAAGGCACCTCAAAAGCCTGGGCCTCTCTCAGAAGGCAAGCATACATCAGAGCAGGCATTCGAGCTCTCAGCTGTCTGAACTCCAGAGCTGCTGCCAGTCACTCTCCCAATGCACATTCCCGACACAGATACTCTCTCTGGGTAATGGATCCTTCTGTAAGTAAAGATTTTTTCAAGAAAGCCAGACCAGCAAAACATTAGCTGCTTGTGTTTGCTGGGAACAGAAATGAGTGTGTTTTTTCTCTTAAATCGTTCTTGTGTGATTGCACAACCTGAAGGGAAATTCTTAGACCCCAGATTTTTTTTTTAAACCATTCTGCAGCTTTAAGTCTGTCTGCCTTACTCATTTAGTGGGGAGGATGGGGGCAGGGTCACATGATCTCAGCTATAAAGTGAGCAGCAAGATCATGGTATTTATCTGAGGCTGTACCTGACAGCAAAGGGCCACGATGACCAGGAGTCATAGAACTCTCCTCCCAGACGGCAGCAAAGGCCTGGTCCCCAGTGTCATTCTTAGCCACACCTTGCAGGGCTCCAGTTTATTTGAGGGAGGGGCTGTTTTGAACAAAGACCTATAGCAGGTGTTATGGTCAAAACCAGACGGAGTGTGTATGGAGTGCAGAGTAGCCAAGAACAACTATTGCCTGAGGCAGTAATATTTGTTAGGTACCTACCATGAGCCAGACCCTGGGCTAGGCCTTTCCACTTTATTTCATTTTGTTTTATATCATTTCATCCTTCCAACAGCCCTGTGAGGATCCTTACCCACCATTACAGATAAGGAAACTGAGACTCAGTAAGGACAAGGACCCTTCACACATATCCTGCTAGTTAATACAAAACCAGAATTTCTTCCTGTTCATTTTCCACTCCACCCTTCACTATTCACTCCAGCAAATATCACCTTTTCCATTCAGAGACTCCACCTAAGCTCTTAAATTAGGATAAGCCATGAGCAGACAAAATAGAAATAAAAATGAAACTCCTGCAGCAGGAGAGTGTGTGTGTGCACGCGCCTGTGTGTGCATGTGTCTACTCTCCTGGGAAGCTCCTCCGTGACTCTGTGTTGCCATTCAGAGATGCAGGTAGTCTAGGTCCCAGGCCAGGATGGGGAGGTGTAGACAAAAAGGGGAAGGGGGAAGGGAGCCCTCGCTCTGGAGCTAATGAAGTGTAACCACTGCATCCCAGGCATCTGAGTCTTCCAAGGTCTCTGGTTCCTTTTATGCCAGATCCAGACTAAGGCTGAAAAATCCTAGCGGTCATAGTATATTTTAAAAAGCTTAGTCGGATTAGTCAGAAGAATGCCCCGGAATCTTTACTAATGCAGTGAGGTCTGTGTTCCAAGACATAAGGCTTAGAGGCCAAGAATCTTACTGAATATCATCTGGGCTGCTTAATGGAGGAAAATCACAGCAAGTTCAAGGTGTCGGTGACTGTGATGGAAATGGGCTCCAGTGAGCATGAAATTAAATCAAATAAAAGCGTGGAAAGCCTTGAAAAATCCCTTCCTGTCTTAAATAAAAACCACAGAAAATGTATATAAATAATTCCTGATGTCCAATTTTTTTCTTTCAAAGTAAATCCTTTCAAAGGGTTAGAAGAGTTTGGGACAGCATGTGACCTCGCAAACATACCCTCGCAAGTAAATAAGTAACACAATAGCTGTACTTTCAAAATTATTTTTACTACCACATTTATTTAAACAAAGATTTGTTTTAAGAGGTCCTTGGCTTTCTTATAAAGGTGAGAGAATATGATTTGTGGCATGGAGACAAAAATACATAAAACAGATTGTGGAAAATCTTCATACACTTTAAGTTCTTGAGTCGGCATAAACAAAAAGATGGTAATATGATATTTTTTTTTGATGCTGAATAGTAGTAGGTCTGTTTCATTGTACTCTGCAGGTTTCTGAGATGGATGATGAAATTCTCATCCTATGAAATGTCCTGTTTGAAGTAGGCTTTTATTTTATATTATTTTAGTATAGTTTATATATATTATATTAGTTATATTAGTTTCAGGTGTACAGTATAGCGATTTAACATTTTTATACCTTACAATGTCATCACTCCACTAACTCTAGTAACCGTCAGTCACTGTGCAAACTTATCACAATATTATTGACTATGTTCCCCTTTACCTTTTCACCCATCTTCTTACTGTCCTCCCCTCCGGCAACCGTCCCTTTGGTCTCTGAAGTAGGTTATTAAAGCTATGTCAAAATGGGTAAAGATAGGTAGAGATCTGCTCAGTTCAGCAAATATTTGTTGAGTACATATCAACCATACATATGCCAGGAATTATACCAAGTATTAGAAAGAGTCAAAGTTGAACAATTCAAATTCCTCCCCGCCCCCATAGCTCACAGTTAGGTAGGGGACATGAAATTGCAAGCATCAATTTTAAGTTGTATAGTTTCACAAACCCCCGATATCGGGATGCAACTTACACTTTAACAATATGTCAAAATGTAATTAACACCATTTTTTCTTAGTGTCATAAAAAATAATGAAATAACTGTCTATCCATTACAAAGAAGCCCAGATTTGATGAAATATTTTAGATGTTATATAAGATAGAACATAGACAGTACTTAAATAAAAAAGGAGGTCCAAAATTCCCTCTTAGACCTAAATGTACCATGCCTCCCAGGAAGAGTATTTGTAGCTGAAAAACTTAAGTCCTAATTGTTAAATAAGGGTAAATAAGGTAGGAGTAATTACACAAAAGCGCATATTTTTTGTTCATAATAATAAGACAATGAAATACACTGCTATTTTATGTAACTTTAATTAATAATAATAGATATTACACAATTCATTTCCATTTACTTTTCTTCCTTGAAATTTTTCAGGATCCCTCTCTTTCAGTCATAATAGATGGTTATAAATTTGATTTACACACCTGCAGATAATATGCATAAAAGCAGTTTTGTTTTCCGGAATTTGGTCTTTCACCCAAATATTCAATTTTGTCTTGATTGTATGGGTTCAAAGTTATTCTCCAGTCTATGGGCCATTGCTTTCTCAGAGATGAAGCACAATATAGACGCTTATGATGAAAAACAAAAAAACAAACAAAACTTTGGGGAAACAGTTTTCAATATTTTCAGCTTAGCATGTATGATAAGTATTTCTCAATCAACAAAACTTCCCTCTAGTAATTTCCTCCTCCTCACAATCTCCATACACCTTCTGGTTCATTTACAGCAGTTTACTGCAAATCCCTAAATACAACTTTCATTCTTCATACCTCCTTATCTTGGCTCCGGCTTTTTCTTGTGACTGGAATGCGCTTTCCCTATTTCCACACTTGGAAGATTCATGCTCAGCTTTCAGAACCCAGGTCTTAGATTGGGCTTTCCCAGGAAAGAAGGGATTAAGACCAGGCCTTGAATACAGAGAATTTGGGGGGAAGTAGACCCAAGGATTATGAAGGATGTCTGGAATGATTATAACAGTGAAGGAAAGTCAATATAAGAGTAAGTTATTGCTTTGTTCCCTTCTTGTGGCCAACTGAGACTCCATCCTACAGGAATCCTTTGAAGAACTACGTAGGATGCAATTCAGAGTTGTTAGCTGTGAGTTGGAAGACCGGGGCATTTATTCATTAGTTCCTGCTTCCCACTGATCATCGGTTACCTTATGGGGAAGCCCTCGTGCAGACAATGAGAGCTGCACGGTGCTGTCAGGTTACACTATTGGGAAGCTAGTTGCCATTGCAATAGCTGGTGTAAAAGGTGAGTTGAGAGGATGAGAGACAGTCCACAAGACTCGGCTTTCCTAACATGCACAGAATTAGCTTTGCCCCATCAGACCTGCATGGTGCCAGGCACAGACCTCTGCCTAATGGCATTTTTTCCTGCTGTTTTGTAATTATCAGTTTGCATATTGAGTATAAACTTCTTATTGTGGTAAAAAGATCTTGTTCACTTCAGCGGCTACTGAAGCTAGCAGAGTAACCTGCATACAGCATGTAGACGAAGGACGCCTTAATGGGATAAAAACACACAATTTTAATTAATGGGAAATGACTATTTCCCAAATGGTTGATATGACCATTCATATGAGACCTTACGATGTAGTGCAAAAAAAGGAGAAATAAGTCAGGTGGACTGAAAATAAGTCAGCACAGACAAAGATGTGATCATCCATGATCATGGAGAAAAGGAATTATTTTTAAAAAATATCAGCTATATTTGGCAAGATTTTTTCCCTAAGAAACCTGATAATAAAAAGAATCATCACATGATCAACCACTCACTATAAAATTCTAAGCAAATTTCAGTTAATTCATATTGATAAAATCTATCTTTGATCTCACTGGATTGCTGCAATGACTTCCTGATTCACTCAGAATAAAAACTGATGTCTTTACAATGACACCTAAAGCTCTGCAAAATGTGGTCCTGCCTGGCCTCCTCTCCTAATGATCTCCTCTTTGCTCCCTTCCCTCCACCACACTGGCCTCTACCAGGCACAGTCTCGCCTGGAGCCTTTGCACTGGTCACTTTCTCCTGACCACTTTCTCCTGACATCAGCTTTGCAACTCCCTCAACTTTGCAAGACTCTGCTCAGATGCCACCTTTCTCATATGAGCTCCCCTGAGCCTTCTATTTAAAATCTGCAGCCCTCCACCGTTCTGAACTCTTGAGCTCCTTATTCTGCTCTACTTTTTTCCCCCATAACACTCAATCACCTCTAATGAATATATAATTAATTTATGTCTATTGTTTATTTTCTCTCCCCCTCTACTAGGATGTGTTTCCACCAGAGTAGGAAACTGTTTGTGTTATTCATTGATGTATCCCAAGAACAATGTCTGGCACATAGTTATTAAGTTGAACTGACTATCCTGAAGCTCAGGAGATAACAATATGCTTCATAACATAGAGGACATATCATTCATCCATTCTGCAAACATTGAGTACTTACTAAGTGCTGGACATGGATAACTTAGATATGATTCCAGTCTCAAGGAGGTCCCAGGCTGGTGTAGACACAGGTAGGCCAGGGTGATGGGTACTCTGACACAAGCACACACAGTGGCTTTACGGTCGCAGAGGAGGGGGTGTGTGTGGATGGTCAGGAAGATGTTAAACAAGGAGATGACAGTAAAGCTCTGTAGAAAGAAAGCTACTCGACAATGAAGGGAAGGACACTGGACTGGATTTATGCATACACATTCCATCATATGTGAGCTACAGAAATGAGTCAGCACAGGTTTACATTTGATCTTAAGCAGTCTTTCAGAATCAGTATAGAATGAACTTTTTCCTCAACTTATTTACTTTCTGCCTCCCCTTATTTTCCCCTGAAAGACTCTAAATAAATAAGCAGGCAGCAGAACTTCATGTGTTTCTCCCACAGTAATGGGAAGGGACTTTGGGAATCTATTTAGGTTTATAAATTTTCCCTTTTCTATTGGATTTGTTTTTCTTTTGGTCAGGATTATAATTTGATTGCTTTATAAATATCTCTCTATGTATACTTTTTCTCATTTAAAATATCCATTGAAAAAATATATCCATTGATTATGTATTTATAAAGTATATTTTCTGTTTTCAATTTTAAAAAATTCTGGCCTTATTCTTTGCAGATCATTATTTTATTCATTTAACAAGTAATGATTAAGTCTTTGTTATATAGCAGACATTGTGTTAGATGCTGTGGATAAGAAGGACAGAAGCATATTCCCTGTCCTTACGAAAATTTTAGTAGTGGGATAGAAAGGCATGTGAAATAATAAGAAAACTGAAGCATTCCATTAGATACGCGAGAAGGATTTAAGGCAACAGTTACAAACGTTAGGTCAGATGTAGCTCATGTAAGTATTTGGTCCAATTGTGTTCTTTAAAACACTTGAATTTGTGGTTTTCACAAATTAAATCTTGATTTCTGGCTTCTCTTAAAAGAAAAATTAGAAGATCTGGCAACTCTGAGCCAGAATTCCAAAATGGCAACAGGAGGTTAGAGCTGCATCAGAACCAGCTCTTTCAGAGGGCGGGAAAGAGGGTGGGAGAAATGCCCAG